TACTTATTTGTATTATATGTAAAGAGGTATCTAATATTCCTCACAAGTGGCATGGCTCAAAATAAATGATTACCTAAGCTTTTGGTAAATTATTTAAAGAGCGAATTAAATTAACAGTCTCTATAATTTAAAATTTGTGTTATTTTAATTCTTGATTTTTTAATTATAATATATTTGATCCTGAATTTTAAATCTTGTTCCAAATAAGAACAATTGAAGATACTATTGCTCAATTTCAAAGGCAAAGTCATCAATTTAATAAAATATAAACTAATTTAATAAAAATAAATGTCAAAAAATATTTTTAAATTTTTCAAAATTATTTCTACCCATTAAAGATAAAATTATGTAAAATTGATAAATCTTTTACACATTTATTTATTTTTTTTACCAAATTAATTTTTGTTTTGTGTTTGGATGATGATCATGTAATGGGTAGTTGTTAAGCTTTTAATGTGTAATCAATATATTTAATATATGAAATATTTTTAGTTTTTGGTTTTTTAATTTAATAGATTGATTTAATAATGATATCAAAGTTGTCGCTATACTTGACTTTTGAAAAAATAAAAACTAATTTAATAAAAATAAAAATAACCACATATAATATGATCATCATCAAAACACATAATAAAAATTAATTTGATAAAAAAATAAATAAATGTGTAAAATATTAGTCAATTTTACATAATTTTATCTTTAGTGGGTAGAAATAATTTTTAAAAATTAAAAAATATTTTTTTTTGACATTTATTTTTATTAAATTGGTTTATATTTTATCAAATTGACGTCTTTGTCCTTGAAATTAAGCAATGATATATTCAATTATCCTTATTTGAAACAAAATTTAAAATTTAGAGTCAAATGTGTCACAATTAAAAGTTAGGGACCAAAATAACACAAGGCCCAAACTATAGGAACCTTTAGTGTAATTCACACTTATTTAATTTAATCTCCTAATCTTAATATTAAGGGGCGGTTTGGAATGATCTAAATAAGTATACTTTTTACCTTTTTATGAAATATAAATTAGGTATAGATTAACTTTAAAGTGATGTGATAAAGAAGTGATATAATTTAAATAAGGTAATAATTTTTTAATTTTTTTTTTTTACTTTTTAAATTAGGACAAATAATGCCTATGTAGCAAATTTCGAGATTGATGATACGTGGACACCAGAGACATGACACTAACGTATGACACATGGACACCAGTGACTTGACAATGGCATAGTGCCGACTAAGATTCTTTTAAATTTTGATATCCAAATTTATTGCTTGAAAATATATATATCTTTATATATATATATGAATTTTTTAAAGCTCCTTTAAAAGAACAATTAGTTTGCTTGATTTTAGTTTTTTTAATTCAGTTTTTTAAAAATTGGGTATTTTATTTTTCTTATTTTTTTGTTTTTAATAAATATTTTTAAAATTTTAAGCAATTTTTTTTATTTTTTTAGATGCATCTTACCTAAATGTATCTAAATAGTAAAATATTTGTGAAAAAATATTTTTAAAAATTAATAAATACGCAAAAATGAGAAAAATGTACTGAATTTTAAATTTTTTTTTTGTATTTTTTGGTATTTAGTGTATTTTTTAAAGATTTTTTTGACAAATATTATACTTTTTAAGTGTATTTATGTTAGGTGTGTCTAAAAATTAAAAAAATTGCTTAAAATATTAAAAAAATTCATTGAAAACATTAAAATACAGAAAACAAAAAAGTAAAATTTTCTGAAAACTGTTTTTTGAAAATCAGAACCAAACAAAGTGTGAATTCCATTAGTTAGGGGTAATAAATCTTTAATTTTAGTATTTTGCCAATCTTGTAGCTTATGGTTGAGGAGGAGAGAATTTTTGCATGATTTTAAAAGAGGATTGTGCTATTGGTTAAGTTAGCACGTTGGTTAACAATTTCTATACTCGGTCTAATTAAGCTCTAGATCATTAATTGTACAGATTTAACTGGAGTATAAATTCGAAATAAGGTTACAAAAGATTGTGCAATATATCAATATTGCAATTTAATGGACCAAAATTAGTTGCTGCTGTTGCGGATCTTGGGCACACCAGGGGACACTCACAAGCAAAAACACAAGACTTTTAACGTGGTTCGGCAAACCGGCCTACGTCCACGGGAGCAATGTTATATATCAACAAATGGAGGAGATTACACACTCTCAACTCACTGTCTCTCTATATAACACACTCTCTCACACTCTCTGATACACAAACAGAATATAGCTCTCACTAGCTCTCTCTGTTTTGTGCCTCTCTCTCAGCAGTGTGTTTCTCTCTATGTTTGCCGTGTTCATAACTCACCATCACCATTCCATTTTATACACCAAAACAGAAGGTGGAGGAGGCTTCATGGGTGTGTTGGCTGCCAGCCCAATATTCTCCTTTGTTGCTGGCGCATGGCAAGCCTCATGACTGCCAACTCATGCCAACCTCTTTTGCCTTCCTTTTACCCTGTGGGTTGGCTACCCTTCCATGTGGCTGCCAACTCAATTTGGGTTGATCTCCTACAGCTGCAGGCCATCATTTTTTTTTAATCAGTAACAAAGTAATTATAAATATAAAAAATATTACATCAAGGATAATAATAAAGTCTGACAAGTATATTTGACAAGAAATAAACAATTGTATTACAAATGTAAAGATAATTAAATTCTAACAATAAGTCACTAACTAAATCTAAACTTGAGAAGAAATAAACAATTACATTATAAATATGAAAAGCATTACATCAATGATAATTAAATCTAACTAATAATAAACAATACATTTCAAACTGATCTTCAAAAAAATGAAACTCGCAATATCACACTACAAAAAATGCTACACAACCGTTAGGCCAGAGACTATGATTTGTTGCATAGCTTCTAACCAAATTAAAATAGTATTAGGGATTCTGATTACTCATCACACTTGGATGATATCTTACTAAAAACAGTAATGATATCCTCAACTCTATCCTTCTCTATTTTTGTGATTTTTATAATGATAAGATAAGAATACCGAGTTGGTTTAAACCCAAAAGCCTAAACTTTTGGCAATAATGTTGTTGAATGATAAAGTTTGGTTGTTGGAGAAAAATAATGGTAGTAGTTGAATAAAAAGTGATTCGCATCTTTTGGTACTAACGAACTAACAACATTGTTCACAAAGTGGAAATGAATTGGTCCACAATTTGTCATGATAAAATAAAATAAAAACAAAATAGAATTAATTATATTGCATAATCATTTTTATGCAATAATTTTAGGATTTTATATAGAAAAATAAATGGATCTGTATCACATGGTTTTTCTGAATAAAATTCTAGGTATCTAGAATTATTGTTTTTATAAATAAAATTTTCTTTTCATGGGAAAAGGATTTACTACATTGATTATCCCTAAGATTTAAAACAATACAATAATAAGCTCAAAAGTTTAGCAAAATAACCACAAACTTCTTTTTTGATAAAGGCTAAATGTTCAAAATTAATATCAATTGTGTGAAGACACAAAAATCAACAAAATAAAATGCATATTTCAGTGCAAAAAATATGACAATGTCATTTCTCTATCCATACCAAGAATAACTCATACTTAAAGGCACTCCCCACTATAATCTAATCCAATTTAAACTAACTATCAAAATTTCAAAATTTGAAATAGAAAGGTACTAAATGTTAATCGTACGATTTCACAAATAACTGTTGGATCTTCTCATTAGAACTAATCTCAGCCATCCAAATGTTTACATAGGACAAATGTCTATAACACATTTTCAAAATAGTCATGCTTTGTTATATTTTAGATTAAATACTGATGAAAATGAGGAAAAATCTTAATTGCATTAATACCGTAATGAAATCATTTAATTAAAATTCAATATATTTTTTTCAAACTTAAGAAGAAGTTAAAAAATAAGAAAAAAATAGCTTCTACTTCTACTTCGTTTTTTTTTTATTTTTTTATTTTTTCTTTCTCAAATTCAAATTTCAAATGTAATCCTAAAATAATGAAATCTTTTTGATGGGAGAATGACAAGTAGTGAGCAATTCGTTGGAGTCATATCGTAGTGATTGTAAGCTTGAATCCAATTAGTTTGAAAATGACATGAACAATCCTTTGAAGGTTGGGAATGAGGCAATAGCAAATGGCAAACTAGAGATAAGCTTCTTCCATCCTGTAATTATAGAATAGAATCCAAACAACAAATAATTAACTTTATTGGAAAAGGCTTGAAATTTTTTAAATGTAATGATATCAACTACTTCAGGTTAATTATTGATTAGTTTAAAAATTAATTATACAAGACTTAATTTTTTTTGGAGAAACATCACATCAACAGTTTTGAAAAAATAATTATAAATAGTGAGAAATTTTATAAATATTAATAATTGTAATTATAAATTATAATTTTTTTCATGAATATACCCCTAATAATTTATAAGACTTTGTATTTTCAGTTTGTTTAAATATTCTGTTTGTGTTTTCAATTAAAAAAGAGTTTAAATATTCTGTTGAAAAAAAGTTTTCAACTTGAATATCTTTTTTGAATTGAAAAAAATAAACGTATTATTTATCTACTAGTGTATGGTCGTGCCTGAAGGCACGTTGTAAATAATGTTAGGATTAAAAAAATAATGTTAGGATTAAATTCACAGAACTCTTCACAAAAACTCACTTTTACTTGTATAATATATAGCTAGTTAGACAGATGTGCCTCGTCAAAAGTGTAATCAACTTTAAAAAAAAAAGGGATAGGGAGAGATTCTCTCTCTCTAGGACCTATGCATCACAATTGACAAACACATTTCTAGAGACATGGTTTTCATTTTTCTTCATCTTTCTCACCTCTAGGATCCCCAAATTCCTCATGCATATACACACACATTTGCAGAGATATATACATATATATATATATATATATATATACAGATCAATCACAATTTGTATCATCATCAAAAACCCACATTTTCTCTCTCTGTGCGAAAATGGCTTCAGTGATACACACACATATTTCTTTTTTTGATCTCTCATTTTTTACACCATGTGAGAGTGTAATTTAACTGGTTTATCGAGATGTAAGTAGCCAAATCTTTTGAAATGGCATATAGTTGTCTTGTAGCATGTCTAAAATACCTGTTTCCTGCCTCCCCGAATTTCCAATATTCAGGTTCATGGTACCTCACTCCCCTGCTCCACAAAGTGCACAAATAAGGCATCTAAAAGCTTAACACTTTCTATGTTAACAACAAGAATTTTAGGACAAAATTCCACTTACTTCTGAGCAAGGACAGGACTAGATTTCATACATCCGATATACACCTGTGGCTTTTTCCTGTATCTTGCCAAAGTTTCTCCTAGTGTTGCTGCAAAATTTACAACATCTTACCCGATGCAACAAAATAAATAAATAATTTGTAGAGTTACAAACATATATAATTTCATTTTCAAGTAAAACTTGTTTAATCAATCATATCAGTCGTAGATTTGAATTTAGAGGTTCATATGAACATGGGCATCTGAAATTTCTACCCCGATTGGGAATTTAAAAGTAAATTGTAACACATTGAGTGTCTTGCATCTATATATTGGATTTTAGACCTTCATGTATGCATTTTATTTTTATATCAAGTACTAAAAACAAATTTCTTACCTATATTTACATGAACATCATCATCAACTTTCACATAAAAATCTGCATCCCATGAAGCAACAGCAGCAGCAAAATATGACTTTGTCTTCGCAGACAGTTCAAGGTAGCCCTCAACATGATCCTGCTCACATTATAGTAACATAATGTAAATAACGAAAGGATTTTTAAAGTGACCATAGTGTATAGCAAAACAGCCAATAGTAGATGTAGAAGAGAGTTAAAAGAGAGGAAGTATTACCGGCCTCAATAAATCTCTATGTTTTTTGTCCTCTGCTTTAATGGCTCTGTCCAGTATACCTCCAACCGTGTGACTGGTAATGCAGAAACAGCAGATTATATCATTCAGTATGTCTAAAACTGTACTCTATGATTGTTAATCTACAAGGACAATACAGTAAGATTAATTTCCAAATGTGTGATGTATATTCATGGGATTTGAAAAGACAGTGTTCAGTGAATAAAGTAAGATTACAATATCATGATTGTCAAGTTATATTTGCAATTTCAAACTAAACTAGGAAAAAAATTACAGATAAAAACCTTTTATCTTCATCAAATGGCTCACTAAGGTGCATTAAGGACTGTTTTATACATACAATTTACAACTAAGGAACACAGACTGAGTAGGGAACACAGAAGATTGTTTCAACATATAATTCCTCTTACCAAGCCTGAATTCACCTCCAAATTCAGTCCCAGCTCACCAAATTACCTCCAATGACAGCAGCCCACCAACAAAACTACTTCTATTAAGTCTTAAAAGTCAAAGCCCAATAAAAATTCTATTTTTTCTGGCAATAACAAACACAAATGAGTACTCTGTTACTCTGGATATATGATCAGAGGTTAATGAAAGAAAAACAATAAGGTTTTTTAGTTCTTAATAGTAATCCTATAAAAGAATAAAAATATTATGATAACACGTATAGCGAGCTAAAACTTTGTGTAAGTAGAATTTTCCTTTCATTTTATTAGGCAATTCAAAAAATGTTTTAACTTTTTGTGTTTATAGAATTACACTGCCTTTGTGCTTGTTGTTGACTTGAATTGGCAAGGAGTCAGTTACAGTAAATTGGCAAGGAGTTGGTTACATTGTACTGTAAATCTTCTTCCATCTATGACATTATTTATATTTGTGGTATATGACTGTAGTTGGGAGGCTTTAAATGCATCCTAAAATTTTAAGTGCATTTAGAGCCTGCCCTATAATTGTATGCATACCTAGGATAAATGACAAATATACCAAGTAATTCATGGTAACACTAAATTTTTACAGTATTAGCTATCACCCTCAGGGTTTTAACTATTAGCTGACACCTTCTATTGTTGTTTAAAGCTGTGGGTCGTCCTATTTGTACATTGTGGAGAGAAGCGAAAACCCGACATCTCTTCTATGACACAATATATTGAACACTATTGCTGCAATGTGCATTGATGTGAGACCAGCTTGGGACAGTTGGTCAGTTGGTGATCCGTGGTCGATGTACCGATCAGGGAGAACCACGGGCTTCCACTACACAGGATTTTCAAGGACACAGAGTAAGTGATCTAGTGCTGAGTTCAAAGTTTTCTTCTTTTTGATGTATGGATAGAAAAAGTAGAAATAACCAAATAACAAATAGATCATCTACTACTCACCCACACTCCATATATAGAATCAGTTTAAGATATGTTTCGTTCTGTTTTCATTTTCTTTTTTCCATATTTTTGAAAACAAAACAATGAGAAGTTCATTTTTATTTGTATAATATTGTGTACGGGAAAGAAATAAACCTTCTCGTATAATCCTGTTGATCAAGTCTACGCTCCTCTGAACGTCGTCGCTTTATCACCTGAAAACACAAACGTGAGCTAGCTGGCGGGTGTGTGCTGGAAACCTCTCTGATGCCTAAGTCAGCACAATAGACAAGTAGACAAAAGCTCTGTGTATTCGGGAAGCAAAATTGTGTGTTACCTCTTCGCAGGTGATATTTGTGAGCTTTATAGGTTTCGTGTGGCACAATCCTAGTAGGACTTTTACTTCTCCATGCAGAGTCCTCCTAGGATTTAACCTCCTGAAGGATAATCCTTATCCTCCAACACCCCCCTCACTGCTTAAACCAAGTGAGATGGTTCTTCTATGGCCGGGCTACCACGACCGAAGTAAAATGACCATGCTATGCTAGCAACCACATGGCCGAGACTCAACTAGCCTGGTCTTTTACTCCGCAGTTTGTACCTCGGTTTCCTTGCGGAGACCGAGCTAAATTAAGAGTGAGGCTTGCTATGTCTACATCATGCCTTGGTTCCAAATAGTGCGGCCGAGCTAACCACGCCTATGGTAACCAAGATACCTACGCAAGATTATGACCGAGTTAACTTAGTGCGACGACCGAGCTTACCTCGGGACCGGCGTAACTTCAAGATTCTCCTAGACCGGTCTAACTCTATGGCCCTTTTACTCAGCCCTTCGTATTGCGGTCCAAAACGGCCCATTTACCCAGCTCGGCCCAATTTTCCATACAAATTACCCTCACAATTGCCCCGTAATTCCATCTGCGAAGCATGATAGGGATTACCTAACTTCCAGCCGAGCTAAGATTCCTCTTCTGTTCCAGCCGAACTAAATTCATACCGGGCTGTACTTGTTTGGTCAGAACGTCTAATCACAGCTACTGAATCGATTCTTATTCTAGTGACACGTGGCCGGTCCTGATTGGCCCTCTGCAGCTGTCCCGCCGCCCTCGTACTTCGCAAAATTTGAACAGTTCCCGCCCTTCCACTTTCGTCCTTTTCACAAAACAATCTCCTCATCTTTGGATTCACCACTGCATTTCTTATTTCCCTCATTCTCTCTTTCAAGCTCCATTGCTCTCCAACTTTTGCAACTGTGAAGCTTGCTTCGTGTTCCTCTTTTACCGCTGTTGCTTCCATCTTCAGGTCTTCTACTTCAATCTGGTAAGCAAATCCATCTTTCTTACTCTGTTTGTTTTCGTATTTGTTCAATCCATATTTTGTTTTGTGTGCTTTTTGCAAACACTTTTTCTGTTTAGCCTTCGTCTTTTCTGCAAAACATGTAATACTCAACTTCATAAAACCTGTAGAACATCACTTTTGATCCACAACCCTAACATAACCGAACTAAAAAGTTGTTTGTGGTTGGTGCCTGTATAGCCAGGCTACCCACCGGACTAACACTTCACACAAAACTGGTAGTTTCACCAAGTCAAACCACCTTCTGATTTACTTTAACCGAGATAAACGAACCGAATTAAGTTTGAACTAAGCAAACTGGAAACCTTTGCCTTCGACCGAGCTAAGTCTTCGGGGCTAAGCCAGCTTTCCTAGTTTTTAAACCGAACTAAGAAAGCTGCCCCTATAGGTTTGACCGAGGTAACAAAACCCGTAGTTCAAACCGTATAAAACCAATCCCACACACAAACCGATCTATCGAACCCCTTGCTCAATCCGAGTTATCAAGCACTTTGCTGAACTGAGATAACCCTTGTAGCATCCCTCATAGGCCGAAGTAGGATTTCTTTATCTTTACTTTGATTTGTAGCACAGCCCAATGATCTGTGCTTAACACCTTTGCTCTTCACTTTGCAGACTTTTTACTTTGATTTTGTAGCACGGTCAACGATCTGTGCTTAACACCTTTGCTTTCCACTTTGTAGACTTAGGTTGCCCAGGCACTCCTCTGTGCGCTCAGCCGAACTACTGAGCACCATTTTCCGACCGAACGAATTTATTTATAACTTAAACATAAATGGGGAAGTATAGGTTTTTGGTATAAACCCCTGGAGGCTTAGCCGAATTCCGAAAGGATTACAACATCCCCGATGACGTACAACTTGTCTTAGCCAAAAAAGATGTCATACCATGGGGGAATGAGGGCTTCGTACCTTTTACCCTCCTTTCAATAATAGAAACCGGACTAAGATTTCCAGTCCAGCCATTAATTTGTGAATTCCTTAGACAAACACGACTATGCCCAACCCAGCTTTCCACCAATTCATACCGTATAATAATGGGAATAGCCGAATTAAACCGCCAAGCCGGTCTTAACCTCGGTCTAGCCGAAATATTCCACCAATATTCCTTAAGATCAAAAGAAGATGGGTGGGTCTACTATTTAAGAATACGCCGTCGCCGAGAGAAGATAATAAAATATACACCGGATAAAGACTTAAACGATGACGATTTTTTCTGGGTGTCTGGGAACTTTGAAGATCATCAAGCCCAGATTCCTGGCAGACGTATAAACTGGAAAAAAGGAATCCCCGGTATAACTTACTTCGGCTATATGCATGCTTTTGTTTTACTTCGGTTTCTGGTTTCATAACCGATCTAACAGTTGTATTCTTTTTGCACACTCAGCTCATCTTGCATCCTTGTACAGTTACCCCAACCTGAACACACTCCGTGCCGCGCTACGTGTTAAAGAAAGGAGTTGGGCTAAGCTGTTAAATTTTGAGCCGACCTATAGATACCGCAGTCGCCGAAAAGCCAGAGTGACCGATTTCCTTCTTGAAAACGCACCAGAACCAGACCCAACCTTGCCCCAAATCAACCTCGTCCCACTGACTGCCGAACAAGAAATGGCAAAAAGGAGCAGAGTAAGGGCGCTTCTAACCGAAACTAACAGACCCGAGGTACCACAAACCGGTCAGACGACTGAGACCATGGTAGCCCTTCCATCCCAGTAGCCATCCTCATCTCGGGCGAACAAGCGTGCCCGAACTAGCCAAACCGAGCAACGACTTGTTGACGAGGTGAGACCATTCTTCCGCCCAGCCCTCAACCAAGCCCTCAACCGGAGTGCTCAGACCGAGCTGACTCCTCCAAATGGGCTCCAAGTCTTACCTTTCAAAATCGAGATATTCAGGAAACTGACTCGGTTGTTGCTGAAAAGGATCACTTGATATGGTTTTCAATCTAGCCAAGAGTGTTTGCCTTCCAAAAGACATGGAGCACCATAACAAATAACTAAACACCGAGCTGAAGGCTATCCGGTCATCAACAAAATCAATGATCCTGGTAAGTGACTCTCCCTTTTCTTTGTCTAACTTTTCCCAACTGTCAGTCCGGCTACAGAGATTCACTACTCTTTTGCAGGCCATTCAGAAGAACAGCATTGCACATAAGAAAGTGCTGGAGCTCCGCAA